CCTGTCGAACATTTTCAACAGCAATATTTTTTCTTTATGAGCAGGTTGCAACCTTCATAGTTTCTCACTCTACTACATTTTATGGGAATAAATAAACTTGAAGCTTCATTGTATTATATGGTACTTTCTTAACAGATTCATCCCGATGATGCTTTTGGGCAGCAGATGATCCGAAATTTGGAGGTATGGATGTCAAAGTTTTGTATTTTGTTCTATACCGTGGTTTTAAAAAGTTTTGTATTTAGATCACAATTGATTGATTTCAAATTTACCATTGAATTGAAAGTATCTTATCTCAAGTGGGTTTTTTTGTTCTCTCTTTAACTGACATATCATATGTGCTTTTGCCTTTTATATCCTCTCTCTAATTGATGTACCTTCTTTTTGCTCATTATTCTATTTACTCATAAGTTTGTGGCAACTAGTAAGGCTCTGGAGCCTTAATGAGACGAGCTTTAAATGCAATAATGAGAACTCAAACCCCCCTGAAGAATATTTGTGGGAAAGGATGATTTAATACCCCAATGAGTATCAGTCTCACCCATAGTTGGGTAGTTGATTCTGTAGCCTTGGGCCATTGCAACCTAAACTATTCATGACAGTGCATTTTTTTGCATCATAGGTTAGTTGCAATGCCTGGGCTTTGGATGATAGCTTTGTAAGTTAAAGTTGCTATCCCCATATGGGGGTTAAAACCCTCTTTGCCCCCATTTTCAGAAATTTCAGCTCAATCTTCTTGGATACTTTCATGATTTCTCCTCCTATTTCAATAGAAACATTATAGGGTTTTAGAAGCAACTAGTTGAGCGAAAACGAGAGAAAACAGTTTCTGATATTGGTGAAAAATGGATAGAGTTTCAAAGAGAGTTTCTGATCATGTCTAAGCCTAGAGTAGGTAGATACAGGCAGTATAACCAAACTAACATTTAACGACAGCTGTCTATTGCCGAAAGCTAGTCTAGCTACAATTGTGAAAGAAACTCATTCACTAGATAGAATATGTGCGCGCGCGCACAGACACACACACTTATGTTTCTGTTTTAAAGCAAAACAAACTTGTCTGGCTACTGTTTCAATGTGAAAGCACCCCCTTGCCAGCCACTGACCCACTGTTCACCCTTGTCCAGGACTCTGGTCTTTCTTTAGTCTCTGTTCATGCATGTTGCATCATGGCTCTTTCTTTACCCTATTGATTTTGACAATTCTTCCTTGTGGACTTCATTCTGATCAAGGAGAAACTTGTATTGAATTCGAATGACTTAAGCCTTAGAGGGCTTAAATTTATTTAAGATTTGATGTTGTACTTTTACACATATGCTCCATGACTTTTACTGTTATTGTAGCGATAATTATGCCTCTGATTGATGGTGATTGTACATTTCGAATATGGTATAAACCATAATGTGGCATCTTTTCTGTTTTGCATCAGTGTCGGGGTTGTCCTCTATTGGGCATTTATGCTACGCCAACTTTACTTGCAAAGGAAAAATTATTTCTGGACCAAGGATGGCAGGTATTTCATGTAACTTTTTCTAGAAAAGAATTCTATGGTGTTTTGTATTTATTGTGTATTTGATATATGATTCAATCTGAAGTTGCAAAAATCCTTCCAAACGATGATAAAAAGTCCCCTAGGCATGAATAGCCCGAGAACATAGTTGACTTAAACTAAACTAGAAACGGGTTGCAATTGCAACTGTTTTCTTCAAAACAGTCTTGAAGGTTATAGTTTAGAGATGCTTGGTAATTGATATCAGATTTGTCATTGTAGCTAATAGTTGCTTTAATTAATTATCATCAGTAACTAGAGTTATCAATCCCAGATAGCGGAGCAGAGTGGCCGACTCCAAAAATCGGATAGCGGGATAGCGGGATAGTGGATAGCTGGATGACCGCTATTTAATTATTTTTAAACAAATTATATAAATAATAACTATAAAAATAAATCAAACAGCTAACTCAATAATAGAACAATACCCCTAAAAGATTCATAAATCAAACTGTCAAAACACAAGGCTTAATCAAAAACTCAATCAATTCAACAAGTCTTAACTTTAATCAAAACATCTCAAAATTCAAACTTCGAGAACTATTATATCAAGAATTAAGATTCAAACTATTCTTCAAACAAAGCAACCTTGCATTAATTTAAATTAAAGAAACAGATGCTAACAATAAAACATATGAATATATTGATTTATATAATTTATACACAAAGAAGAAGAAAATAAGAATAGAGGAAGAAGAAGAATACAGGAAGAAGAAGAAAAGAAGAATAGAGGAAGAAGAAAGGTACGAAGACGGCGGTGATGGCTTGCCCTTCAAATGGAATCAAACGCGAGAGAGGAGAATAAGCAGAGGCGAACGCAAGAGAGAAGAACAGAGTCGTATGCGAAAGAGGAAGAGGAAATGAAATTTAGGGCAAATGACAAAAATTAAGGGTATTTTAGGATTTTCGCAACAAAAAAAACAGAAAGCGGGTTGGACAGGCAAGCCGTTTTGATATGCAACCCGCATTTGAAAAATGCTCCGCTAAATAGTGGCCGGCCTCCGCGCCGGTCCCCTCTCCTAGGATACCGCCGGTATCCGCCAGGATTGATAAGTCTGTTAGTAACAAATCGAGTGAAAAAAAGCAGAAAGCGGTTGGACCGGGAAGCCGCTTCGTTTTGTAACTCGAGAATGAAAAAATGCTCCGCGAAGTGCGATTTCATGGCGGCCGGCCTCAGCGCCGGTCCGCTCTCCCGGGATAGCACCGGTATCCGCAGGGATTGTTAACAACAAATTGAGCACAGTTATGGCTAAAATTTCTCATTATTCTACGTGTTATGCTCTAGGAGGGCTTCTACCTGTACCATGCAATTTCAGATAGATAAAGAAAGTATCAATCCTCTTGAGCAAGAGAGAGTCCTTGGATATCTCTAATATATTTTTGAGTCCCTACATCAAAAAAAATATTACCTCAATTCCTCTCCCCATCTTACAGAGGTTTTTAATATGGTCTGGGGGAGTGGGAGAGTGATTGTAGGGTAAAATGCAGAGAAATGGGCTCAGCACAGATTCAATTCAAGGACCCAATAGATCTGAGAGGAACTTGAGGCTACTTCAGCCAAGGCTCTTACGCTCCACTTCTATTACATAGTTTTTCCTGTTATACGAGTGTTCACTTTTTTCCTCATTTTCAAATCTTACTATTGACACTGATGTTTCATTTTCATGAATAATCATTGTAGCCATAATGCAGATTTATTCTATCACTAACATTAATTCTCTTATACTGTTTGTTTCTCATGGGTATCAGAAATCTGTTGCATGGGACATGCTTAGAGTTTATAATGATTTTGTTGATGCTCAAGAAAGACGCAGGTATTTTAATCATATGTAGAATCTTGTGTGTTAAATCTACTAATTCTTTTCTAAAACATTAATATTCATACATGTTGGCACATAGTACTAGTAGGATTACAAATGGAGCATTAAGGTGGGAGAGGTGTGATAAGAGTGGTGTAGTGTACAAGAATAATAGTACAGTAAAATTAATATAAACTCTTACGGTGGGAAGGTGGTGGTCCCCCATTAATGCTGCCTGAGTAGCATCTGTAACAGTTACTTTCTTTTGATGTTTCCTTTTCCTGGCTTCTCTTTTAGAGAAGCCTTGTCTAGTTTTTAGTTCCCATCAAGATCTTAACCATTATGTTTTACCAATTTCTTATGAATGTCAAATGGCGGAACTATTTAATTACCATTGGATACTGAAGTTTATATCTTCACATTAAATGCCGTTCTTCCTTGATTCTCCCCATATCGTACGAATGTTAAATGGCGGAACTATTTAATTACCATTGGATACTAAAGTTCATATCTTCACGATAAAAACCGTTCTTCCTTGATTCTTTCCGTATATGCTCATTTTATCTAATTTGTTTATGGCTGGGGGCCTGTTTCTTTTGTAAGTAATATCAAGAATAGATAAACTGATTGGTGATACTTTACTGTTTAGGATTGAACGTCTGGAATTGTTTGATGAATTTGAAGAGTGGTACATGATGCAGGTGAGTCCATTTGTTATGAAAAGCGTCTGAATTCTGTTCTATACACTTTTTCTTTTCTGATAAGCCCGTTCTATCCACTTTGCTGGGTGGTCCTATTGCAGAGTGTAGACTCTCTCATTTTAGTGGGGAGTACCAGTTGCACTTTCATTATTTCTTCTATTTTGAAATCATCTGTTAAAATGAATTTTGAAATCATCTGTTGAGATGAAAAGTAAACTAGAAATTTATGATATAAGCATTAGCCCAGTTTGATGCTGAGTAACTAGAAATTTTTGACTGTGACCGACAATCAACCCCATACTTTGTTATAGATTAACAAAGAACTTCTCGCATGTTAATTCCGCTACTTGTATCTAAATATTCTATCGCTGCAATTTAATTTCAGGAGCACTACTGTGTGGCTTATGCAATCAACGATGCCATGGTATGATCTTGATCATTATTATTCTGCCCTGTAAGAAGTTGGTAAAATCTTCATCTACTTTATGAGACGGCCATAGGATTGTAAATCATTTAAGTGTATGTTTGGTTTAGTGTTTGGAATAGCCAAATTTTAGAGGTTTTAAAATTGATTTTGGAATGATTTTGAGGCGTTTGGTTCTTCTAAAGTAAAATTAATTTTGTCTCCATAATTGATTCTACTTGAAGTTAGGATTTGTAGTTTTTGAGTATAAACGAGATTTTTACATTTAAATTTACTGTTCAACTAAATTTTGTATAAAGTTATCCAAACATAAATCATTTTACTTACAACTTGCTGTTTGTATTGGAGATACTCTAACATAAAAATATAACATGACGGTGGTGGGCCGGACTATATTTATTGCGTTTCTTCTATTTGCTAGTGTATTATTGGAGCTTTATGGGACCTTTTTGTTTTCTTCTTTGATGCAGGGTCTTTTCGGGGATTTTGGATTTCTTAATAACAACAATGTGCTTCCTTCCTCATGAAGAAAGAGTATCCATACACTCTCATAGCACATATTTATACTACATATATCTTTCTTCCCAATGGCATTCTGTGGTTGTTAGTTGTAACTGTTAATCCAGAAATATTGTTGTCATTTAAAAAGGTTTCTGAGAAACTTGTTACATATTGTATCAGAATTTAGCCAAATGTATGATTGGTTTTGTGTACATGGACTATGGACTACCTCTTCATGTATTGTTTGTTTCCCACAAAGCAAAGATATACTTGCCTTTTTTCTGCTAGCTGTTTGGCACAAAGAAAACAACATGGTGGAACCCACATAGCACCGACAGATTGATAAATCATCATCATCCTATAAGGGCCTGCGTGGGTATATGTCCATGTGGAAGATATATGAAAAATACTAGGCTTGTTTATTGCTTTTCAATTTCAATACAGACACTTTCTCTTATATTTTGGCATTCTTTAGCATGCCCTTTTTGTTTCCTTTCTTTTGTGTGAATGAACAGTGTGAAGATAGATAGTAAATAGGTTAGGGTTTTTGTTTCCAATGTTGCTAAGACTGATCAATGTCACTGTACTTTAAGGTACCTCGTTTGATGGGTGTAGTCAGAACTAGAGTTTGATTTATCAAAATATAGATGGTTGAGTGAGGTGAGAGCTTCTGTCAATAGGGACTCTGGATTTTACTTGACAATAAAAAGACTGACATGGTAAAACTTGAAGAGAAAAGAACAAGCAAAACCGTTATTAGCAAAGTGGTATGTTTAATGCTTCAGTGATTCCAGTGGACACTGTCTTCTACTCTTCTACTGTTTACTTCTATACTCCATCAGATATATTTTAATTTTAACTACTTTCACAGTTTATTTAAGGATATCATTTATAAAGTACCTTTAAATTAATAAGTTTTAATTTTTAATGATTTCATATATTCCGAGAACAAGTCTAAATAAAAACACTTTCTATTCTCTTAAGTCTAATTGATATTATCCATTGATGTTTTTTGATAAGCCGGACTTATAAATCTCTGATGTTTGTTGATTTTTATTAATGGTTAAACTAATTTACACAACTAATTTTTATTATTCATGGTTAAACTGTACAGAGATATCTAATTGTAGATGTGTAATTTCAAACTTTGCAATATTTCACATATTTACTTTTACATAAGAATTTATTCATTAGACTAGTAAACATGAAACACTTTAAAATCAACATTCTTTATAAAACCGATAAAGTTTAAAATTGAATTTACACAACTAATTTTCAGGTTATGTTTGAATTTATAGAATAGAATGGTGCGAAGTGAAATTAAATATAATTGAATGAGTAGGAAGTGGAATGAAATATAAACTTCAATTTGTTATTTGTGTATTTTTTATAATTAGATAGAACATAATAAATAAATTTATTCCACTACATACATTACAAATTAGTGATTGAATGAAATAAGATGTAATATATCCTATCATATTTCGTTCTGTTCTATTCATTATTTCTAAATTCAAATTATAAATTACATTATTTAGCGTTGTATTTCACCCCATAACACCAAATCAAACTAATTTTGGTTAATTAAGACATGAGTAAGGAGTAAGTTAAAGTATACTATGGTCACTCAAATAATCTCTTTTTTAAGAAAAACTGAAGGCTGTAAAAGTAGTTACCTAAAGAATATATGCATCTAATGCTTATAAATGATGGTCCATTGGTGACCACATATAAGATAGTCTAAAGAAAAACTTAATCCACAAGATAAATATAAAGTGAGAGTGGTTCCACTACAGCATTATGGTAGTACACAATTTTTTAGGTTCGAGTGTACCAACCTATCTATCTATGTCTAGAAAAAGAGATTATTTGTAGCATTAGATGCATATATTCTTAAAAATCACACCCTTCCAAACTAAAAAAATAAAATTAAATAAGTATGCAGGGATATGCATTTCTTCATTTCATTCCACTTGCAAGCACTTCCAAGGTCCTATGCTACAAAATTTTAGAATAACACCAGTCAATCAGTCTTCATATTGACATAAACCTATGTAACTTAAAAGGAGGGAAACAAATTCGAAGCATGAAATATAAAAAAAAATGAACCCTTTTAATTGAAAACGAGGATTTTTTTTTTAAAGTGAAGATAAAGAATATTTTGATAGAAATGTCACTATGCTTTTGTGAAGAATTGGATACTCTTTCAAGTGATCAAAAGAAAGGTCCTTTAGTTCACACCGTTAGCCATATTTAACGGTAGAAAGCAGTACAAAGTTAACTTTTTCTTTTTTACTTTAAAATTTTGTAGACCATTGAATATATGAGAAAAAAGAGTGCATGTGGTGTGTCTTTAAGTGGAAGGGTTTGTGTGAAACAAGATTTTGTGAGTAGGAAAGATGGTGATAGATTTGAAAGGTTCTTTCACTTGTCTTGAATTTTTCACTTCTCAATCTTTTCTTTTTATCCTTTGCTTTACTACAAAAGGTTTCATTTATTGGTGAATATTCATGCATGCTACATGTAACAATTTCCTTGCTATGCTTTGTCGTTTACACATTTGTTCTTTTGATTAATAAGATGATGATAAAAGAAGAAGGAAATGAAAAACAATTTGAAAATACAACATGAAAGATTATAGGCAATCTGTTAGGTAAAATAAAAATTCCACATAAAATAAAGGAAAAAAAATCTAAATCAAATTCCAAAAAATTATATTACTCATCACTTTCAATTTTGTAAAAAAAATATGTAAAATATAAATTTAATACGATATCAGACTATAATATCAAATTATTAGTGTTAGATGTAAGAGCGTATGCTAGTAAAAATCTAAATCAAATTTTGTAAAATAATATTACTCGATCACTTTATTAAAGTCAATTTTGTAAAAATAAATTATGTAAAATATAAATTTAATATGATATTAAAATCTATAATATCAAATTATGAGTGTTAGAACTCCTAAAAACAAAAGTTCAATTTTTAAATCAGTATATATATATATATATATATATATATATATATATATATATATATATATATATATATATATATATATATATATATATATATATATATATATATATATATATATATATATATATATATATATATATATATATATATATATATATATATATATATATATATATATATATATATATATATATATATATATATATATATATATATATATATATATATATATATATATATATATATATATATATATATATATATATATATATATATATATATATATATATATATATATATATATATATATTTGGAGATAAATCACCCTAAAAATTTTAATATTGTCTTTTATATATATTTTTGTTCAAAAGAATTATCTTACTTTACTAAAGAGTATATTTTTACTGAAACTAAATCACTTAAAAAATTTTATAAGTTGAAAATTTATTAGGTAATTTCTATGTTGGCAAAAAGTTTTTTAACCACCAACATACTCTCACATTAAACCTTGCAACAGTGTCAATTAACATTCATTCAAGTTTTAATCCTCTAGCAACGACTCATCATATTTCACAGAAGTAGAAATGCCATAAGATGACACTTTTTAATTTTTCACAAAACATCATTATCTCTCATCGCGACGAGACATTGCTAATATTTAATTTAGAGTCATTTTTTAACATTGCTCTATCATGACACTTATATTTTATATGTCTAAGAATCCGTAGAAATACCATAAAAACACATTTTTTAATTTTTCACAAAACATCGTTATCTCTCATTGCGATGAAACATTGCTAACATTTGATTCAGAGCTATTTTTTAGCATTGCTCTATCATGACACTTATATTTTATATGCCTAGGAATTCATCATTTCAAACATCTTAAAAGTGTTTCGTTGTTTTTCTCCGCATAAGGCTCACTTATATATACCAATAATGAGTTTGATGAAGTTTTATCATCACTATTCAATCCATATTCTTTAGAAATGATTTTATTGACATCTTTTTCAAAGTTTAAAATTTATTTATCATATATCAATACAAGTTTAATATGTTCATAAGAAGATGAAAGAGATCATGCGAGTTTCAGATTTATATTCATCATCAGTTTTGACTTCGATAGTTTTCAATTAAAAAAAAATCACTGAGAATACTTAGATAGTCAAATATTGTCATATTTTTATTTATAAGTAAAGTAATGAAATTGCTCCTTCAACAACAATTAATTTGAGATCTCTTTCCCTAATATACCCTTTCAAATTTCTTTCAAAACTCCTTGATTGACGATGTATCAAGAACATTCCCAAAGATATTCTCAATCAAAAACACATGAATTTTATTTTAAGTTGTCAAATCTAATTCACCCCACTTTGTGTTATTCATATTGAGTGTTGTCTCTTGTGCGCGAGTAAAATATGTCTCTCAAGTAAGAGATTAATTTTTTTTTTTTCATTTTTCAACAATTTAGGGGTCTTTAGAAGGAGTTTTAAACTGCAACAATTAAAAAAATTGAAATAATGAGGGTCATTGACCTCCGCAACATACTATGCTAGAAATGTAAGACTATATTGTAGCAGTTTAAAACTCCCACTAAATAACCCCTCTTAAATTGTTAAAAATACGAAGAAAAAAAAGGATGAAATCTCGGACTCTCATGTGAAAGACCTATTTAGCTCGCACACAGAAGACAATGCCTTCATATTGGAAGTGTTTTCTTTCACGCCTTGTAAATCTTATTTTATCAACACATTTTTGGCTTGAATTGTTCACAAGAAAAAATTAATTCTTCCATCAAATTTCTTAAACTTAGACTGCATTGCAATTGAAAAGTTTGACTTATGATAATGTTGTACTCATATAACATACTAAGAATATTATACGCCTACTTAAAAACTACAATGTCATTTTATTTTAACCTAAATATATCTCTCAAATTTATTTTGAAGGCTCAAAATGAACTTAAGAAAGATAAAGTCAAGTAAATTTATATGATCAATACACACCTTTATTTATGTGTAATGCTAAAGGATGGTAAAAAGGGTTA